GGACAGGGCGCGGGGCTGCGCTGGCAGCGGGGTCTGAGCGAGCGGCCGGGAGAGGCGAGGCGAAGGAGGCTGTGCCTGCCGCCAGGCTGGGGAGAGGGAAGGCTCCCCGCAGCGTGGCCGCTTGTGGGGCGCTGGGCGCCTGCCGGCCTGAGCGGCCGACTGTGAAATGGCGGCTGGGGGCCTGGCCAGTGCCGCGGTGGGGGGCCTGTGGGCCCGGCCGAGGTTTGGGCAGGGTGTGGGGACGATGGGGTGCGCACTTCCGGCCCGACGCAGGGAGGGAACCTGGAGGCTGCGAGGCTCCAGGCGGCTGTGGCCTGGGAAAAGCGGCGTGGCCGGGCCCGCGGTGCCGCCGCGAGAAACGGCGTTTGTGGGTTGTGGGGAGTAACAGCGGTGCGATGAGTGAGTTGTGAGCGGCCTCTTGGGGCTTTCATCAGTGGAAAACATGAAATAATCCAGTTCTGTCTTTTTTCCTCTAGTGAAACTACCTCATCCTTTACTCAAAATGTAAAGGAGTAGTTCTATGCAAGATTTGTAAGATGGTGAAGTATTTGTCTTTACGTGCTATTAACTCTGCAGGCAGTTACCTTTGTGTATAACTTAATGCACCACATGGAGGCTGTATGGGGCTGTTTGTCAGCTGCTGTCAGAATCAAGGCATAAAGTTGTTTCTGCCGGGGCTGTTCATGTACAGCAACGTTTAGAAATGCTATTTTGACATGCATATAATATGCATGGTGCTTCCACAAGAAGGGATGAAACTGCTGTCTTAGGTTGTCCTCATAAATCTCAGAAGTTGCTTTATGAGTGATGATCTGACTGTTTTTCCTTGACAGATGCACCCTGATGGCAAACAGCATCGAGTTTCCCTGTGGAAACAAATGTACAGGTTGAATAATCAGCTCCTTACATGACTTCTCTTCGGAACTCACGCTCGTTGCCTATACTTCTAATCTGACACTTGGCCAGAGGGACTTTTGAAAGTTTCTCAAAACTTTTTACCACATAAACAGAGATCATAGTCATCAGTGCTGTTATGTCCTGGGTACAAGTTGCAGTCAGCCGATCCAGTGAGGATATATTTGATGAAGATGCAGATGAGATGTATCTACTACGGAAAGAATGGAACAGCACCATGAAAAGAAGATTGAAGGTATTTCTATAACAATGATTTAATAGGCTCTTTAACCATTTTAGATTTACTGATACATACCTTGCTATACGTATGGCTGATTTAAAGGGGAGAACTAAGAGTGGCTGCTTAAAAGTTCTTGTGGCTTAGTTTCTTCTGAATGTCAGCAGAATGTAGCAGGGATTTACGAAAACTCTACCCTAGTAGTCATCAGAGCAAAGTAGTGTTTTACCAAAAGACATTGTCTTCCTTTGTACAACCACGTGCATTTGCGAAATTCTGATGTGAGCTTTTTGCTTCACACTTGTAGGTGTACCACTAGTAGATGCAGGGCAACACAGCTAAACAGTGCTAATAAAAACCCAAACATCTCTTATTTCTTTAAGTAGAGTTCTTCATCAGTCAGATTTAAGATCTGTGACTCCATGTGGAACCACAATTGGACGTTGCGGTCTGGGTAGTTCTTTGGGTTATTTATTCTCCTAGTGAAAATTAATACAATTTATGAAAACTGGTTTCCACAGCCCTTGGCGCCCTGGAATTCTACAGGGGACAAAACAAGGACATAAAGATCCCTTCCAACCCCTAACATTCTGTGATTCTGTGTGATAAACCCAGGTTACTTCAGCAGATACATTATCACTCAGAGTGGGGCCGGTAGGGCTCGTCTGCTCACGGGTGAATGGTGTTTGGCTGAAGAACGTGAATGGAAGCTGTTGTGTAGGATGTTGATGGGGAAGGGTATTACAACGGAGCTGTGGTATTATTCTCCAAGGAAAAGTTTCCTGCATGTAAGTCCCTTGAAAAGACTGGTTTTCTTAATGGGTGGTTTAGTGTTCTTACACAAATCGCTCTGGTATTTTCTGAGTGGATACCACAAAATCGTAAAATGGTGTTATTGAAGTTAGAGCTCTGTTGGGCAAAGAAACATTCCTGTTCCTGGCTATTTTTCTAGCAAGACCACCAGTTTTCTTCACTCATGAACAAAGAGAAATTTTCACTCTTACTACTTGCAATTTTGGTGTGAAAAAAGTTAAGAATTATTCTATGTTGTATGATAATGTGATTAGAATATAAATAAATTAATTTGCTTTATGATCATAGGCTGTTTCTTACAGAAAGCAATCACAGTGTTGTGTGTATTTATATGTGACTTGCTCCATCACCCTCTCTCTTCCAGTATAACTCTTGAATTGAGTGAGATCTGGCAAATAGAAAAGCAAGGCTCAGTAATTTCTTTTGTGAAAACGAGTAGATGGATTGCAGACAGGAGAGTACCTCTGCTGAAGGGGAGGCTTTGCAGCCTCCTGTTTTCAAACGTCTGGAAATCTGTATGTGGTATTCTTTAAGGAATTTTTCATAAAGGGTCATCATAAAACCAAGCATGCTTTCCTGCAGATTTCTCTTATTTTTTGATGTTTCTAAAAATACTTTCCTTATCTTCTGAGCTTCTTGGGATCCTTTTGGAAAAAACCCTGGATGTTATAGATCAGTAAATCATAACACACTGCAAAAAGCATGTTTTGGTTTGGCAGTGGAGGGGTAGCTGGGAGGGATGTTCAGATAGAGAAGCTGCAGTTTAAGAGACTGAATACTTGTTTAAACTTTTTTTATTGTTACAAAATTGTCACGGGTCTAATTTTTCATCTTGTGAACAACCTGTGTCACTACTTTTATTATAGGAAGGCTATAGGGATGGAATTGAAGCTGGGAAAGAACTTGCGCTCCAGGAAGGCTTTAATCAAGGTTACAGACATGGTGCTGAGCTGATGGTTACATGTGGCCAGTTCAGAGGAACCCTGAAGTAGGTTACAAACTCCTTAAGGTTGTGTGCGTGTGGAGGGTGTGTACAGAGGGAATGTGCATGCAGTTTTTTGTTTTAATTAAAAAAAAAAGTGTGTTGTAAATCTGTCCAATATGAGCAACCTGAGAATTCTCAGGTGTTGAATACAAGGAATTGCCTACCTGCATGTGGAGTGATCATTCTTAAAAATCCTGCTTCAGTTGCTCTTCCAAATTTATCTGCATCTACGTCTTCAAGCTTAATATGAATGAAACATATATACATTTATATAGCACAGATATGTTGTTGCATTGCTGTCTCCCCTCAACAACTGGAGGTCTGTGTGGGTACATGTAATCACTTTTTTTGTTGTTCTTCACTTTTCAGTGCTCTCTTATCCTGGTGTCATTTTAATGGACATGATTCTGCTTTAAGTAAGATAAATAATCTTCTTGATGTGGTTGGAAAGCATGAAGAAGATGTGCTTAAGTATCTGAATTCTATGGAACAACAGCCACATCTCGGACACATTTTGGATTCTGTTCAGGACATGGACCTTAATCACACAGCTCCAGCTGGGACAGGGTACAATGAAGTTAAAGCTGGAAGTCACGAAGACGTTGATAACTCTGGTGAAAGCATTTGTAGAAATAATGATGAGGTTGGTTCCTTGCAGTCTAAGTGCAGCAAGGCAAAACTCTGCACAGATCCTGAAAGGTCAACCCTTGCTTGGGTTAAAAAGCAGACTATTTGGCTAGTAGAGCAACTGGGCTTATCACTGGATATACTACATCATGTCCAGCGACTGGAACATTAGTTTTTCTGTATTTAAAATTATCTCAACTGGATGTGATTCTGTTTGTGGACCGCATACCGGCTGATGCGTCACTTCGTGTTAGGGAAATCTCATTTTGATGCTTCCCAGTAGCATTTCTGTAAATCTTTGCCATCCTTTGGCTCCTGGCTGAAACACCTCTTGCTTTCAGTCTTAAATGTAACTTTCACAGAAAGGCGAAGTGACTTCTAAAGCTCTACAAAGATTTACTAAATGTATTTCTGTTCGGTGTCAGAAGCTATCATTTCACCCTCGCTTTCTCTTTTTGGCAGTTTGGAAATGCAGCAGGTCCCATAAATAGCCCCTCTAATATCTAAAAAAATAAATGCCCAGCTTGTCCAGTGCTATGGACAAGCTATTCTTGTAGAATGAACTGCTGTTGATGATTTGCTAACTCTGTGCAAAATAGAACAGGATTTGCTGCTGACTTTCTAGAGTGCTGTGGCTCAAGTCACTATATAAAATACAGGAATTTTTCACCTTTTGTCAAATTCTTCCTCTTGTCTTTTGTAACCACTATGCAGTGCGCTTTCACAGTTAAAAACATTTTTTTTCCTCCTCATACAGTTCTAGTTATTTCACTTTTGCTGAAAACACACCATTCCCTTCACATGCAGCATTACTGACATTTCCACTGTTTTACTGTTAGACCATCTTCTCTTACCCTGTTAGACCACACTGAACACGTTTCCAGTCTAATGAACTTCCTTGTGTTACTTTTGTGTTTATTTTGCCAGCCCCTCTAGCCTGAACTCTCTTCCCCTCATTCCTATGGTGTTTTTCCCAAACTCTTCAAGGAAGCCAGGTTTATTCACCTTCTTTTAGAAACGTGTTGTCAGCCACACGTGCATATTTCTGACAACTTTGTATTTCTGTGCCGACATTCTGTACTTGACTCCTTTTCCTGTTGCTTGCCTTAACTGTAGCTGCAAATTGCTCTGGTCAGGAAGTCTTTTCTTTGTAAATGGCTATCTCTGTTTTACAGTAGTTAAACTGATTTACAGTAAGTTAGCAGTTTTCTTGTTTTAAGTTGCTTGTAACTTTCCTTCAGGTCTGAGACAAAGCAGCTCTAGACAGAGACAAATGGAAGTTTTGAACAGCTGACTTAACTATACTTTAAGAAAAAAATTTGAATCACAAAACAGTTTTATACTTTGAGGCCAGAAAAAAGCTAAGGTAAAACTTATGTGAATTTCAGAGACTGAGTTTACAACTTTCTTACTAAAGACTCTCTTATCCTGCCACAAAGTTGGTAGACTCTTGTCTGCCGTTCAGTACCACTTTGCATTAGGGGAAAACAGAACTGCAATTAAAAGTCTCTTACTGAAGCTATTTCTGAAATAGTGGACAGAGCTGTCTGCATTAATTACGTATGTACAAAATTGTTCAAACAACTTTTCTTTTTCTTTATTTATTTAGTATAATACTGACATGGATAAACATTACTTTTCTACAAGTGCATGTGTTGTGTTACAGCCTGCATCACATACGTTAGACAGAAATTTCTTCCATACTGTGATAAAATGTGGTGCAGACAAAAATAAAGGTTACTAGAGCAGTGTTAGACTTTCCAAATTTGGACATTTAAAAATGCGAATTCCGGAGTATTCCTTCTATGTATTTCATAATGTGCAAAGAAGAAACTCCATTCACAGATTACTAAGTAGACAGTGAGCTTGCCAAGTTCTCTCCAACATTGCAAAAGCAATCTACACCAGGAAAATTTGCTTGGTTATCAAACAATAGATTGTGTGTTTTACTTCTCTATTGTAACAGCTTCTGTAGTAGCTGTGGAATTACTTTTCCTCCACTCTGCACAAAGTTTCTGTGCTTTTTTCCATGTTACCACCCAGAGTTTCCAGTTTGGCTGTGGAGAGATTTTCTTTTAGGCTGTCTGTAATACTTGGCTTATCTGTCACTACCAAATCTTGCTGACCAGCCACAGAAGGACTTTCTGCAAGACTATTAGAATCTGTAATTTGCTCACATGGTGGTTCCGGTTTTTGTTCCGTGTCTGCTTCCATGTCTTGTGTTCCACTATCAGCTTTCACCTTAGCAGCGTTCCTGAAAATAGCTCTCATGACAACCGGGACTGACATGCAACTGGGGGACAAAATGAAACATCAGTCACTACTACAGACTTCATCCATTCTTCAACATACTACTTTTTTGAAACTGTGGCTGACACCTGAACGGTACCTGTGGTGAAAAACAGCACTGCCGCCTTGCATCTCTTTGCCTTGTATAGCCTGATCGCCGTTACTCTGTAACTACAACATAACTGCACGTGCTGTACCAGACAGATATATTGACATAATGAAATCGAGTGCTGGATCTTTGAGCTTAGCGCACAAAGAAGCTTTGGTAGAAAGAGTGGGAGGGTTTGGTCAAAAAACAAGGAGTCATAAGGGTGCTTTTAATGAAAACCT